TTTTAATCCTCTTGGAGCCAAACTGACTCTATGCAGGTGCTCTGGGAGCCAGCCGTGAAACAGGCTCCCCTGAGCCCCAGACTATGTGAAGTATTTCACATCTACTCGGACTGTGGCACCCCACTGAGATTAAGGCACCAGACTCTCTGCCTGCTTTAGTTAGAAGGACTAAATGCTCATCCATGGGAGTGCCTGTTACTCTGTGTGTGCTCTTCTGCCAAACTGACTCTATGCAGGTGCTCTGGGAGCCAGCCGTGAAACAGGCTCCCCTGAGCCCCAGACTATGTGAAGTATTTCACATCTACTCGGACTGTGGCACCCCACTGAGATTAAGGCACCAGACTCTCTGCCTGCTTTAGTTAGAAGGACTAAATGCTCATCCATGGGAGTGCCTGTTACTCTGTGTGTGCTCTTCTCTGTTCCTCGCTCTCAGCAGTAGCACGTAGGATTGGCCTTATCTTGCCAGGCCTTGCAGTGTCCTTCTGGCAACACACCTCTAGCAGCAGCCAGTGTTTGACCCTTCAGAGATCACAGCTAAAGCACTCCTGTGAATCCTCTCCTTTATAGACTTTTTCAGGATTAGCCCTTCTGAGGAGGCCAATGGGTGGGGGTACGGATATAGGGATAGGTGTGTGCAGTTGCATGGTGCAAACTGTGTAATGGGTTTTTAGTGGGCTTTGAGCTGCCAAGTGAACCACAAGGGCCACTTGGCAGAGTGTTGTAGGTAGAGTTATATATCTATATTTATATACATAGAAATAAATATTTTTGCAAAAAAACCTCCAACTGTTTGCTAAGGTGATACAGTTTCTGCTGAATAACTCCTTATACCTTTTAGGGGTGTTGCACACACCACACCTATCTCAAGGGCACAGGTGAGGGCATGGTTCCAGCTTACACTGTGCGTGGGAATAGAAAGTGTGTCACTGCGCTACAGTGAGGAAGGGCAGTTCTAGAAGTTTGTCCTCACAAGAGGAAGGTGTTGTTTTCTAGTGGTCAGGACAGGATTCATGCCCCCCCCCCAAACCTGGGCACTGAATTTCCACGTGCTATTTAGCAAAGCCTTTGGACTCCTGCTTCATCAGCTCTCCCTCTGCACAATTCTCCCAGCTCTATGAGGTACTTGGAGATTTTGGATGAAAGCATGTGACAGCAGTGCAGCCATTATTAGAGAAAGCTCTGTCTAAATTTCATCTTAATAATGCACCTGCTGCCACTATTGTCTGCTTCCATCCTTCAGGATTCTTTGTCCCTTCTACTCAAAGGCCATTGTGGAGTTGAAGCAGCTGTCACAGAGGTGGCTGCATTTCTGTGCTGTACTCACATCCCAATAAAATCCACTGCAATCAGAGTAACTCCATAAAGGGCCCGGCATTGACCCATTGTTTGTGTGGCAAAATCAGCAAGGATGGTTTGCTGAAGAGCTTAGCGACCAGTGAGGCAGCACAATAAAAATGTGCAATCGTTCTTACTCCCTCGTTCTTGTTTTGCAATTCCAGCCACAATGACGGAAGCCAATGGTTTCATCCCTTGCTCAGACATACAACGTCTAAGTTGACAATGTGAACTCAAGCACGAATGGCCTGTCTTACCCAGGGCAGATTTTTCCAGTTGTGCCAGTGTCATACTCCAGTAGAGTTGAATCAAATTCCACCTGCTGGCCCTTGACGTAGCTGCTAATGCCTTGGCCTGGTAAAAAACCCACTGGTCAGAGATAAGGATGAGGATCCCCTTTGGGAAGGAAAGGAGTTGAAGAGACTAATTTCTGCCCTACACTGGGCCAGTGGAGGAGCAGGAAGGATGACTGTTACAGTGCTATAGCTATAGCAGTATAAGCTCCTATGTGGACATTCTTACTCCAGAATGAGCATGTCTTTCATTCTGGATTAGCCCTACACCCAGCCTGCAGGTTTCTCAGTGATGCAGACAATCACCCAGCCTGCAGGTTCCTCATGGCCTTGGGTGGAGAGGGAGAAGCTAAAAGTCATTGGAAGTTCACTGATAACATCCTCCTCTTCCCCTTCCCTCAGGTTTGATTCTTGGCCAATGCGAGAGCAGATATTAACCTGAGACTGATCTTTTTGGGGCGGGGTCCGGGTTGTCCTATGTGTTTGCACAGCACCCAGCAGGACAGAGCTCTGAGCTGGATGCAGTCCCAGGATGCTACTAACAGGTCACGGTGGCTAACTGTAGCACCAGCCAGGGGTGCTCATGCCAGCAACAGGGGACCCTTGTGGTGGAAGCAAGAGCAGGGAGCAGCGGGTGGGTGCGGGAGACTTTCAAAGATAGAGGAAGTGTAGAGTGAATGAGGAGGAGGGCAGGGGGGAAGAGGAAGGGAGGAGCAGAGAGGGGAGGGCTTAGAGACAGTTTATAAACTTACACCCTTTTCTGTTTCAGTGGCTCCATCAGCAGCCGAACATGGCAGAGAGCCAGAAGAAAGGGGGCTTCAAAAAATTCAGTAAGTACCTGTGGGGTGTGTGCTGGGGACTGTCATGTGGGTGCTCCTTGATTAGCCTGAAGGCCAAGCATAGTGCAGGAGCAAGCAGGGGAAAGTTGCCTGGGTGTAGGTCATGTAGTGGGTCTCCACACCATGGGGGTCTGTGTGCTATCTTCGTGGGCTGCTAGTGAGTGGCACTTGCGGAGGAAACACACTGCCTATGTAGCAACTGGGGTAGCAGAGCCAAGAGATTTAGTGTAGCTGTCGGCTCTCCTGCTTTGGATGGGGTGGGTTGGTGTGATCAGGCCGACTGGAGTTTCTGACGCGCTTTGCAGGTGCCACCGTATAAAACAGTCCTGTCTGTTGGCCGCTCTTGAAACCAAGCTGTCTTGCTAGGAACAGTTTTCTCCAGCCAGTATGAAGTTGGGCACTGAGGTAGAAATGCAGGTGGGCATCCTTCTCATTTTCCTGCCACCTTGAGCTCAACAGAGCCACATGAGACTCTGTCCCCACCCTTAATCCTGCACCTTGATGGAGACTGGTGGAATACTGGATCCTGGATGCTGAGGGGGACTTGTGGACTTGCATTTGGAGGGACTATGCAGAAGAGATGAGGCTGCATGGGGTCCCCAACCACAGATTCTAATGGTGTTAACTCAGGCTATAGGGCTATAGTGTTTCTGGGCTATAGGGAAAGTCCTGGTGTTCATTGCAATGGGAGTTTTTCCCCTAGATCACGCTGGAGCCAGTGGTCACCCTACACATGTGTAGAGATCATTTGCCGTTCCGAGTCAATTGCAAAGGAAATTTACCAGCAGCATCTTGTGGGAGTAACTTCGTTCTTTCCTAGAGACCTGGGGCTTTCCCCAGCAGCTGAAAGGCAGCTACCCTACCACGCTTTCATTTTCTGCCCCCTCCTTCTCTTCCTTCCCAGCAAGCCCTCCTGTCATGAAACTCTGCTAGAATCTGAATTTGCAGGTTTTTTCCACTCCCAAACCCCTCAGTGCCCTGGCTGAGATAATCATCCCTATCTGATGTCTTCTACTTCAGGATCACCACATGATTCACAAACATGAACCAGCCTCACAACCAGAGAGAATAGTCCTGATTTAGGGATGAGGGAAACTGAGTCACAGAGTGCTGGCTGGGGCACAGCAAGAACTGAACCCAGATCTCTGATCTCTTATTTCTGAGCATTTGCCATTTTGGGGCGTAGCATTTTTTTGGCAAAGGTTTTGGCTACGAAGGAAAGGGCTTCAAAGGCACAAACAACAGTAAAAAGACATTTGATTTTCAATCTTCCCTTCTCCCAGTGCTCTACAGTCTGTCTGTTCAGACTGGAAGCTGTGCAGGGCAGGGCCCATCTTCACACGGGCATGGCTTCATCATAAAACTCATTCAGCTATGTTCTTAGCTTGGGTTGGGTAAAAATAAAATAACAGTGAAGACAAAGCAGCCCAGCTCAGCCACTCAAGGACAGCCCAAGGTCCTCTGTGAGCTTGACTTGAGCTGCTAACCCAAGCTAAAATCCAAGTTGCCTTGTTTTCACTGCTGTTTTAACCAGCAGTACAAGCAGTCTGTTTCTGCAGTGAAGACATGCCCTTTGTGTTTGTGCAACCTCTTGAACAACTTATCTTAGTCAAGGCCTCCAGGCACTACCAGAATACAAATAGACAGCAATAAAATAGATCCACTGAGACATATTTCAGCCACTTATTTCAAGTATGGTTATGATTATGGGTGGTCTGGCTGGATGGTACAAGGTAGTCGTTAAAGTGCAGGACACCTGGGTTCCCCTTTTAGTTCTGCTACTGGTTTAGTATATGACTTGAAGCTCATAACTTCCCCTCCTTGTACCTTCATTTCCCCAGCAGAAGTTTTGCAAGCTTTAACTTGCAAGTGTTTGCAAATGTCTTGGAGAACCTCAGAAAACAGGGCTGGGAAAGGGCAAAGGGTTGCATTGCAAAGCAGCAGTCACAAACATAGGGCCTTTGGGGCCAGAAGAGACAGCTGTGATCGTTTCACCTGCTGTCCTGCACAAAATCTCCGGGCAGACAGTTCCGCCCCATGATCCCCACATCAAGCTGGACCGCTCTTGCCCGATCTAGCCCTGGCCTGAATCCCTGCGCCAACTAAGTTGTAGCATGATGAGAGAGCAAGGCAGTACCCTGAGAACAAAACTGCAAGCTTAAGTCTCAGTTACTGGCTCCCTAAACAGCATGTAAAGAAGCAGCTGCCACAGGAAGTGGTCACCAAGCTGCAAAAAAGCCTTTAGGCGGTAGGTAAATCAGCGAGGTCGTGTACTGCCAATGTTTGTGGCAAAGCTGGGGGGCTGTGAGATTCAGCTCCCACGCTGAACCACCATCTCAGTGGGGGGAAGTGGGGAAAGGGGCCAAGGTGAGAAACACAAGCCCATCCTGTTTAAGTTATAACTAGGGCTTTGGTTAGCACTCTGCACTCAGCAATAGCAGGTGGTGGCAACTGTAAAATGAGCCCAGCAATGGAGAGCAGTCATTGCTTGCTTGCTCAGCTTAGGAAGTGGGTAGATTATCTGCTTCCCACAGTGTGTGCTGCTGGCAGAAAGCTGGGCCGAAGTGCTAGCTCCACAGTGTGACGGGGCCCTGAGCTAGTTAGGAGAGGCACGGAGATGACACAGATATATACATGTTCACAAAGGCACAGAGCTGCGCAGTCTCACATCCATGCTGAAACACACATTCGTGTTGCACAGTAACAGACACGCTCACAGGTAGGCACACACAATCCTGACTCTCTCCCCAATGGCTCTTGCCTGGCTCAGGGTCCCCACCAACGTGACAGCCTGGTAGCCCAGAAAGAGCCACGGGGCCAGGAGGTGAAGAAACTGGGCAGCACCTCCCTTGACAGTTCTGGGGTGGGCAGTATACCTTTCAGAAGCGAGAGTCTTGGGTTCTGGGCCTGGCTGCAGGGCTGGGAGGCAGTTCCTGCCCAGTGTGATATCCTGGCCTGCCCCCCAGGGCCAGGGCTGGGGCCTGGGATTCTTTCATCACTTGGTTTCCCTCTCTCCATAGCCTGGTGGGGCGGATGCTGCCCTAGGAGCTGAGTGCCAGCCATGGTAGCGACAAGCACAGAGCAGCACCTGGAACGCCCCCCAGTGCTGGGGCAAAGAGTTGGGATCCCTATCCCTGCTCAGTCTTGGGCCTGCCCAAGGGCTTCACCCCTAATCTGACTCTAGCTCAGCAAGGCAGCCAGCCACTTGGGCCCCGAGCCTCTGGCTTCTAACCTGCACTGGCTGCAACATTTAGCTTGGAGCATCCTTAGCTACAAAGCAGAACCTTGTAAAGGACACAGGGATCAGCATGCAGGACACCCCACACCAAAGAGCAGCCCTGCCCTCCTCCCGCTGAGCTGCCTGGTTCTCTGCCACAGCTCTGTGGCTTTCCCTGCAGATACATATGTCATGCCAATAAGCACCTACTGCCATACCCCTATATACTCCTGATGGTTGTATTATTGGGGGTCACCAGACATGACAGATAGCTCAATACACTGTTTGGCTGGCTGCATAGGCAGCTAGCAATCTGGGGCTGTTCTGTTTGGAAGCTGAGCCTGTCTCAAGGCTGTTCCCGATCTGAGTCACGTTCTGCCTGAAAGAACTGCTTACGGTGCAGAGTAGCTGGTCTGCAACGCAGGGATGAATGCTACCAGGACACAGCAGCTGGGTGTGACCCCCACTTTGCATAGGCATAACTGATGACTCGATGTGCAAGTCAGAGGAAGGTCAGATGGTTGGTAGGGGCCCAATCCTGCCCTCAGCTACACATTGCCAGGTACTGGATAAGGCAAGAGCTGCAACATGGAAATGAAATCATGATTTTTTGGCTTTTTTAAATACCAGGAGGATACTAGTCTCGTTATCATACCAGTTACACATAGGGCAAGCCTGGAGATGGTCCAGAGCTCTTTTCAGAGGATGCACCTGCTCCCTGCATCTGGCCCTTTCCATTTTCACCCAGGTGCATCGACTCAAAGATGACCAACTCTTAGAACTGCTGGTTATTACCTACTGCACAGAGACCAGACATGATCCCAAGCATGCAGGGCAGTGCTGGGACCCCCGGCTGTTCTCACCTCCCTGAAAAAGCCCAACTGAGCGGAAAAGAAATGAAAGCCAGAGGCAGATGCAGGAGACTATTTTTGACCACTCTCATTTACCACCTACTTAAAAAGGGCAGGTTTAAAGGGTTTGGAATTTATTTTTTGCTGTCATTTCTCTTGTCTTGTTTCCTCCTGTTTAGTTTGGAGCAAAGCCTATGGCACGATGTGTGTGTGTGTGTGTGTGCGCACGCACACATGTGTGTGTAAAGACCTGTCATAAATTGTTCTCAGCAGCCAGACAAATGCAGCCTCTTCCTCTGCAGCTGTCAGTGTTTTGCTGAGACAGGGAGAGGGCTGGGAGAGGGGCGGCAGGTGGCCCTGTTTACGTTTCTGTGGCTAGTTGGAGAGGAAAAGAATCACTTTCCACCTTGTTGCCCATCCTGGGCATGAACCCAGAGGGCAGAGCCTGACTGCGGGGTTAGAGGACTGCTTGGCCCTCACGAGTGCATCTGAGTTTGGGTCTCAAAGTCCCACCTTGGTCTAAAGCCACTGGGCTTAGCAGGACACAGGAGCATGGAGAAGCAGAGGTTAGCTTGTTATTGGGGTCTCCCTCTTTTTAAACCAGTGTCTCAGGAGGCTCCTAAGGCAGCTCACCTCTCAGCAGCACCATGCCCGAGCAGAGCAGGCCTCACACTCCCTAAGCATTTCTGTCAGACTCGCCTCCCCTGGGGCCATGATGAACATGCCCCAAAGGAGGCCAGAACTCCCCAATGGGGCTGTAGCTACTGAGCAAAACCTTGCCAACCAGTGGGCAAAGGCTGACACAAAGCGCTGATTTGCTGGGTCACTGGTGCAGTATCAGATGCTGCTCTCCTCACTGGCCTGATGCTCCTCCACTGCCTGGATTCCTTAAGGAAACCCATCAACTTGGCTGGCCTTAAGCAAATAGCACAAGTGCTGGGGGGTTGGCAGGCTGCTGCCCAGCCAGTAGGAAGCACTCACGCCGTGGTTATGGTGGATCCCCCAAAATAGTGATGCTTTTTGGCTGTGTCATTTCACCTTGACATTGGGGCTATGGGTTTGCTTCTCTAGCCAGATATATACAGAAGAGGGGGAAGAGTTACTATTCTACCCCATCCCCTAGCTGATGCTGTGTGGACTGATTTTCAACAGCCCTGTTCCTTGTGCTGTCCTTTGCCTCTGTGCCAGTGTGTGAACATGGATTGGGTGAATGGAGGTGCCTGGCAGCATCTTGCACTTGCTTTGCACAGGAGTGAATCATACTAACAACCCCTAGTTCCTACCCGATTCTTTCCAGACCCAGATCTCCATTAGCTTAACAAAGGTCAGTGCCATTGTCGACAGCCTACAACAATGGCACAAACCCACTGGCCCAAATCAAGGTTCAGGAGAGTACCACCAGGTCACACCAATGCAAAAGGTCCTTTTTATCACAGTCTCAGTTTGGGACGCAGATGAGTCCCATGGCCTGGCTCTCCTATGCCCATCCCTGCTCTCCCCATCCCAGTAGTAACACAGACTGATGCTTTCTCATCTTTTCCAGAGTTCTTCAAGTTCAAAGGTTTTGGGAGCCTGAGCAACATCAATCGAGTGTTCACCATCCGGCGAGTGTCTGTCGCCCCCAGCGCACAAGAGACCCTGGGGCCGGGTCTCCTGCAACCCAATGGCTTCCTGGAGGACCCCTTTGACAGCACTCAGGATGACTTGAACACCATGCCCAAGAGCCCCACCCCCTATGTCAGGTCATCTGACATGTACAGCCATATGGGGACAATGCCCCGGTTGAGCCATGCAGGGAAACGGGCTAAGGGCTCCAAAAACTGTCAAGAGAAAGGGAACCCCGGTGGCAAAGCCTGTGGCACATCCCCATCATCCCTCCCAGAGTCCCCAGCATCTTCTGTTGCCCCTGCCCCTGGAGCAGACCCTCCCTCGACAACTGGAAAATCAGAGCAGAACGGGGAAAAGACTCTGCTGTCAAACAGCATCCCCAGCCCCAGGGGATCAATCACGGCAACACCCGAAGTAGAATCCAGCTCCTCACGGAGCCTCTCTGAATCAGCCCCTGAGTGCGCAGCAGAGACACAAGCGGCCAGTCCAGCGCAGGCCCCTGTTCAAGCTCCCAGGACAGAGCTTACCAAAGAGGAGCCATTGGAAGACCCCATTCAGCTGGATGGAGGAGAGAAAGGGAAAGAGACTTTGCTGCCAGACCCCCCTGAGAGCTCACAGGAAAGGTAAGACCTGGTCTGATATAGCACCCAACTAACTAGTGCTGCTGAATCACAGCTTGAGTTAGGAGGGTGCTGGGCCTACAGACCTCTAGCCAGCAAAGTCCCTAAGTCCTGAACTAAGCACAGGCTACAAGTCTGGAAAATTCAGTTGATTTTGAGAAACCTTTCAAATTTGAGAACACTTTTCCTGTGGGATTTCTGGGCTTTCCTGCTTCTGGTCCGGATGGAAATGTCTCTGACAGCCTGGCTTTGCCTGTTCTTCCTGTTATCTTGTTCTCAGTTTAATTTCAACTCATAGTGTTATGGGCTTGATCCAGCTGAGAAAGGCAATTCCCCAAATGTTGGAGTGTCAGAGAGCAGGTGTGAGATGGGTGTGTAACATCTCCAGTGTGCAACAGTCTTTCACCCTCTCCTCCCCCTGGGATGGGAATGTCCCTTTCAGAGCTCAGCCGCTGTCTCTAGTTCAGTCTCAACAGCTGGGACATCCAGCACAGGCAGCCTGCTGCTGCTGTTCAGACCCCAAATGTCCGTGGCTCCCAGAGGAGAGAGCTGCCTGCACCCTGGTGCCTCTCAGCTCCAGCCTTACCCAAACCGATTTCAGTGCGTGTCAAATCCGTGAAGGAAGTCTCTGCCTGGGAAAGCCTGTGCATGCAGGAGCTCACAAGCTGGAATGCAGATGGGGGCAAACTGGGCTGCGTAGGCGGATGGTGGGGATTACAGCTGCATTAACGAGACCCCAGCATGCTTTTGTGGTGACGGGGGAGTGAGGAGAGTGACTTGACAGCAAGTTTCTGAGAACCGTAAAGGATGGCAACCCCCTGCTTGCCCCAACTTTCAGCACCTGCCCGCAGAGTTCCTCCCCCCACCCCCAGCCTAAAAAAGATGACAGCCTCCGTGCCTGTGTGTCTGTAAGCACGTGAACCCTTTGCCCTAGAAAATAGGCCAACCCATCCCAGGGGACTCTGGCTGCTCCCCCTACAACTCCCTAAAGCCAAAACGGGGGGCAGAGCACAGGGGGAGACTACAACGCAACCCAGTAGCAACAGGAGCTCCCAGTGCTGCCAGATCCATTCCTCTAGCCAGCATGCCCATGAATCCCATGCTGTCTTTTGGTCTCCCCATCTCTGAGGCAGTGCGATATGCTGCCAGATCCTGGGGTGATGGAGGCAAAAGAAGGGGCAGGTGAGAGGCATGCAGTTTCCTTGCTCTGGTTTCCTTGCTCCTCCCACCGCTTGTCTCCGGGAAGTCCAATGTCTTCCTGGAATGGACTTTGCTTGTTCAGACAAGCCTGGGCTATGGGCCCAAGCAGAGGATGTTATGCCACTCTCCATCACGGCAATTTCTGAGCACAAAGAACCAGGCCCTCAGCTGACGTAGCAGCCTCATTTGTGTGAAGCAAATGGCGCTGCACTGATTCATACCAAGGAGCTGAAAATCTTAAAGGAGAGGCCTTTTCTTCTCCAGTGGGGAAGTTTTCTCTCCCCAGTCTTGGCTCCTTACACCCCTTCTGCCTGGTCCCGTTCTGGCCTCACATTCCCGTTTGACATCAGAGAGGCCCTGTTGGCTTCAGCGGAGTCACTCCTGATTCCCACCAATGTCAGTGACCTCAGCCCCCGGCCCCCTGCCTCCTTCCCACACGGGACCGGCATTTTCCCAGGGATCTGGCGTTTGTTTTCTCAGGCGGTCTGTGTTATGGGAGGCTCGGTGCGGGCTGCAATGCCAGGAGCATGTTAATGAAGAGGAATTTCTCTCAGCTGTGGGAGCTGGGCCCCTGCTCAGCTTTACATGCCTTATTGGGCACTGAAAGGGAGGGACAGAGGCAGCTGGGAGGAGGGACAGGGACACAGAGGAGGCGGTTCTGCGTCCGGCTCCAACCTCCAGAAGTTCAGCGCTTGCAGCTCAGAGCAAGAAACAAAGTTTCTCCCCAAGTGCAGTGTGCAAGTGTGGAGCTCACAACTCAGCCAGCCAGGACAGATGACAGAGGTGGGCCGGAGGTATTACACGCTGGGGCATGGCAGGTAAGCTTATCAAGGCCTTCCACAGCTGAAGGGGAGTCGGTGAGACCAGAGCAGCGTGCTTGTACAGGGGGATCCACAGCTAATTTTGCTTTGCAGAGGTTGCGGGGGAAAGACCTCTTTGTGCATGAGAGAGAGAGAGTCAAGTGGAGGAAGGAGAGGAAAGAGCCTGAAAGGGAGGAGTGGGGAAGAGGTCTTCAACTTTCACTACAGCACAGAGCTACTCCCCTCCTGAGAGGGGAAAGGCTCTTAGTAGGGATGCTAAGGAGGGTTGGGGGCTCTCTGGAAAGCTGACGCAGGATCTGCCTAGCAAATGCATTCCCCATCCCTCAGCGGAAGAGATTTGCTCATGGAAAGAACAAATACATCTGTTGCTGAGACCGCTGGGACTCGGAGCCAGGGGCTCCGCGGGCAGGAAAGGCGCTCAGAAGCTGGGTGCAGTCAGCTTTGTTGGACTTGCTTGGTTTCTATAGACTAGGAATGAGGTCACTCTTTAGCCAAACCCTGGCGGGGGATAGCAGGAGGCTCCTTTCACTGCTCTCTCTGCCCTGCCCAAAGCCCTGGAGCCTGGGAATGTGCATGGCATGTGTGAGTGTAATATCCTACAGTCCCTCACACCCTCAGGCCTTGCCCTCACTGCTGAATACTGTGGGATTTTACCTCTGAGTATCTAACAGAGGAGCCATCCTGAGGCAGAAGCACAGGGGAGAGCTAGCACTCTGGTTTTTACCATGAAGTAAACTAGGTAAGACCAACCCTAGATGGGGTGGAGAGAGAATCCTGACTCCGTTTCTACCTGGTAAAACTGAAGTGCCTGCTGCCTTTACCATGGGGCAGCTCCTGGGCTTTGGAAGTGAAAAAAAAAAAGACGACCCAGGTTAGCAGTGACCATGGGGCTTCATTCACTAACCCCTTGAAGCTGGGGCCAAAGGCTACGAGCAAGGAGGGACTGCATGATTTTGAGCCCCCGGTTTTGGCTGGAACGCCCTCTGGGTTCACTTTGTTTGCTGAAATTCACTGGAAATTCACTGGAATTTCTGCCCGCAATGGCTCGTGTATTCAACAGCAAAGGAGGCAGGGAATAAACTGCCAATGTTCACTGCTGAGAGAGAGCAAGGGAGGCAGTAGCTGCAAAAACAACTGAGGCACCGAGGTGACTTGAGCAAAGAGGAGCAGGGAGGGAATGAAGCACTGATGGGACAGTCAGGGATGTGTCTGCTTCCTGACTGATTACAGCCAACTTCCCAGTTACTGCAAACTGGTTGAGACCCTGGGGAGCTGGGTGCCTGCCTCCATCCTGAGCTGGCTGTGGGTGGGGCCTGCTCATTACTCATCATTTAAAAAGCAGAATCATCTGTGCATCCAGCAAGGGCACAAACCTGGGTTCAACCCCAAGGGCAACTGGATCCTGGATGAAAAGGGAACAAAAAGTGCTCCTTAGGTCACCGCCATGGGAGATCTCCCCACCCTGCGCTCATCCTGCAACTGTCAGAGGCACATCCTGTCTGTCTGGAAAAATCTCCCTTCATCTAAGCTTAGGAGGAGGCCAAGGACACTGGCGGTGACTGGTTTTCCTTTGCTCTGTCTGATGCTCACTAATGGGCAGTAAATTGTGCTCAGACAATAGCAAGGAGGCCAAGAAGTTCATCTGAAAGGTGAACGCTCCATCTTTGACGCAACCCAGGATGCTTACGTGCTGCAGCCGATAATGGAATGTACTGGTCAGAGCCTCCTATAGCCTCAAAAATCATGCTATGCCCTAAAACAGACAGTGCAGATACTTTATAATCTATCCATACTGCCCTGCCAATGCCATTTCTTCCTTGCCTGCAGCATCCCTTTCTATTCCAGCTTTTGGATTGCTTGCCAGATTTATCAGTTCCCCCTCAGATTGATCTCCAGCACTTCCTGCTATTCCACTTCTCTGCAGTGCCAATGTACCTTCATTTTGCCTTGAGCATCCACTGCTGTTCCAGTCCTGGGCTTTCCTGAGCACAAATGGTGCCAGATTGTAATGCAAGTTCTGTGGCGCAGGCAAACCTCCATCAGAGTCTAAGCTGCAACCATCGTTCTCATGCACCTTGTGACCCAGTCTGGGATCTAGATCTGGGTTTCCAGAAGAGGAAGGTTGCTGCTCTAAGCAGCTGTGCCAAATGGAATGAAGTTTTTGGGCAGAATCTAGCAAAGGTCTATAGCTGGGACAGTGACATCCCAATCTTAGCACAGGCCCTGGAGGCACTGCTTCCTAAGTGTCACTGTCAGGCATATTTAAGGATCCACCTTTGTTCTACAGCTGTGGGCTTTGACAGTCACACTGGGTCACAGAGCTCACCTTACTGTATGCCCATCAGCAAGAAAGATGCTGATCTGGAGAATCATCCCTGAGTAATCTTCCTCCCTAACTCACACCAGGGACAGGGACCCCCTGAGGGATTATCCTTCCAAAGTTGCCTGGACCAGCATTTCCCCGCTATGCACAGAAATGGCATTTCCCCTTCCTAGATTATCTTGCATAAAGAGCATTTTCACACATCCTTCCACATCGATAATCCTGCTTAAAGGTACAGAGTCCTCCTCAGCGACATGTCCCGTAACAGTAGGCACCAGTGCCAGTGAGCACTGTCATGCACCTAAGGATTTTGATCTTGGTAGCAATGCCCACTGTCACGTGACCAAGCCAGGAAATAAAGTCCAGCCACTTGCCAGCAGAGATCTCACAATGCAGCAAACTCCTAATAGTGCAAGTGCAGCTTCCTGAGCTACTTGGTCTGGGAGGAAACACAAGAAAGAGATGGAGGAGGCGACTTCAGTGAATCCATGTTTTTCTTGAAGCAAGCAGTAGGGAATAGAATAGATATACGTGGGTGAACACTTGGTTGCTGCACATGGCCCTGAGGTGCTCTGCTCCCTTCTGGTGCAAGGGCGAAGGGGACTGCAAGCAGCTAGATAGGGTCATTCTGAAATGTCAAAAAGATTGATCCAGGCAGG